GAGGTGTACCGCAAACCCACCCACACAGACCAGTATTTGCAGTTTGACTCCCATCACCCTTTGGAGCACAAGTTAGGAGTCATCAGGACTCTGTACCACAGAGCAGACAGCGTCCCCACTAGCTCGGGAGCCAGGCAGAAGGAGAAATCCCACATAAGACAGGCTCTACAGCAATGTGGATATCCTAACTGGGCCTTCTTGAAAGAAGAAACCCAAACAGGACTCCAGTCAGCCAACAGGTGAAAAGGAGGAACCCAGACCCAGACCAGTGGTCATTCCATATGTTGAGGGAGTATCAGAGAAACTGAGACGTTTATTTTCTAAACATAACGTCCCAGTGGCTTTTAAACCCCAAAATACATTAAAGACTGGTTCATCCCAAAGATCCAGTCCCCCGGCACAAACGGAGTAATGTTGTGTATGCTGTTCAGTGTCAGGAGGGTGATCAGTCTTACTTCGGGGAAACTAAACAGCCACTGGCCAAAAGGATGGACCAGCACAGAAGATCAACATCATCAGGCCAGGACTCTGTGGTCTACACTCATCTCCAGGCCAGCGGTCACTCTTTCAGGGATGAAGATGTTCACATCCTGGATAAAGAGGAATGATGGTTTGAGAGAGGAGTAAAGGAGGCCATCTTTGTGAAAAGAAACCGTCCATCATTAAACAGGGGTGGAGCCTCGGGGTTCAACTGTTCCCCTCTTACAATGCTGTGATTGCTAGTATCACTCAGCCCTCTGTGAACAGTAAACAGCCATCAGGTGCTAATGATCCATTGTTAGGCTGATGGTCCTTCTTGAGCATGTGATCAGCTGGTTCTGGTTGTCAGCAGAAAACTGGTTGATCCACTCTGAGAAGGTGCTATTTAAGAGACTGAGCAGAATACAGCACCTCAGACTGAGGAAGTCTCTCAGATGAGAGACGAAACGTTTCTACATTTTTTTGTTGTTTTGCTTTGTTTTGTTTTTTTTGAATGTCCAGAGGACCAGATTGAACTTTTTTAGATTTTTCTACCTGGATTATTGAGCATGCATCAGGATACTGATTGAAAACTGTTGAATTGTATACCTGGATTATTGAGCATGGACTTTGTTGACTTCCTTTAGGCTTTTCGACATGTCATATGTGGTTATCAACAGTTAGCAAATACGGTTTCAGTCTTATTTCTTACACTTTGCCAAGCTGGAAGAGTCACCCAATAATCATCAGTTTCTTCTCTGAGTGGACCAGGCTTAAGTCAATTGATTGATTGATTGATTGATTGATTGATTTTATTGTCAATTCTGCATATGTACAGGACATACATAGAAATTGAAATTGCGTTACACTCCTACTCAAGTTGCAGCAAACAACAACATTAGCAAAAATAAACTAACACAACTAGTTATATAAAAAATATAAAAGTGAACAGCAGCAGGACCTCTGATGCAACGTCAAGTCAGGAATTAACAATCCCAATGTGTCTACAAGTGCTCACTGATGAAGCACAAAAAATCGGGTCTAGGTCAGATGATGTTTCACTGAGATATAACTCTTGTAATAATTTGGGGGCGCACTGGAGTGAAATGTTAAACAAAACCAATGTGTCCCGAAGTGCTCCCTGATCATACACAATACATCTGGTCCATATTGGATGATATTTCACTGAGATATAACTGTTGGAATAATCTAGGGGCAAACTTGAGTCATATGTTAAATCACAATATGAATGTGTCTAGAAGTGCTCACTGATTACACACAAAAAATTGTTTCAGATCAGATGATGTATCACTGAGATAAAACTGTTAGAATAATCTAGGGGGTGCACTGGAGTCAAACGTTAAAAATCAATACCAATGTGTGTAGAAATGCTCACTGATGACGCACAATAAATCTGGTACAGATTGGATTATGTATCAGTGAGATATAACTCTTGTATTAATCTAGGGGGTGCAATAGAGTCATATGTTAAACCATAATATCAATGTGTGTAGAAATGCTCACGTATTATGCACGATAAATCTGGTACATATTATATGATATTTCACTGAGATTTAACTGTTGGAATAATGTATGGGTCACACTGGAGTCAAAAGTTAACCAATAATACCAATGTGTCTAGAAATGCTCACAGATGACGCACCAAAAATCTGGTGCAGATCAGATGATGTGTCACTAGACATAACTGTTGTAATAATGTAGGGGGCGCACTAGAGTCATATGTTAAACCACAATATCAATGTGTCTAGAAGTGCTCACTGATTATGCACAATAAATCTGGTGCAGATCGGATGATATATCACTAAACTGTAACTGTAGGAATAATGTAGGAGGTGCTGTGGAGGCTATTGACCACTTATCATAGATACCTATTCAAGGGGTGGATAATGATCGGATCAAAGTGATTTTGGTACACCTCGGCTCAAATCGGTGCAATTTAGAGCCAAACGTATTGTAACGGCGTCACTTCTTAATTTGCCAAGCCGCCACACACACATCCTCCAGCAAAAACGGTTTGCGCTTTAAAGCAAGTCAGACCAACTTGTAATATGTCTTCTAACATAGGATCATCCTGATTAGGTCAAAGGTGTCTGAGAGGGAGCTTTCCAAGTAAAAAAAGAGACTTCCTGTTCTGAGGGGCGTGGCTTTGATGACATCAGAATATGACCAAAGAGGATCGTCGGGCATCCAACAGGGATGACTCCTGCCAAGATTGGTGCATTTCGGTCTTTCAATGTGAAAGTTATGGTGTTTGGAAATTTATGGCGTGAAGCGCAACTTTGAGGCCTGGCCACGCCCCTTTAACATATACGAAACCGCAAGCGTTTGATAATTTTACTCCCCAATGTGTTAGGGGCATATTAACCGAGTCTGAAGGCAATCCATCCAAATCCCTAGGAGGAGTTCATTAAAATTTACCATTATGCCAAAATGACCCTTTGACCCCAAATGGCTGACTTCCTGTTGAGTTTGGACCATGGCTCCAAGAAACTTTTTCATAGGTCCTGAGAAGATACAGATGTTCACCGAGTTTCAGAATTATCTGTGAAAAAATGTCTTGGAGCTGAGGTTTTAAAATATTTTAGGGAGCGCTGTGGAGGCTTTTGGCAACTTATCGTATATTCCTGTTCAAGGGGTGGATAATGATTGATCATACCTATTTTGGTGCACCTCGACTCAAATCTGTGGAATTTAGAGCCAAACATATGGCGACGGCGTTACGTCTTACTTAGCCACGCCTTGCCACCCACATGTTCCACCCAAAACTGTCAGTGTGGGAAAGCAAGTTACACAAACATGTCTTCAGTCACTGGACACACTGTCATGCTGATTAGATCACAGGGGTCAGATAGGGACCGTTCAACGTAAAACTTTACACTTACGTTTTCCAGGACGGGACCCACGTTGTTCCTCCTGGATCTGAGGTTCGACCAACGATCGGACTCACTTCTCCAGTACCCCTGAATAGACCTTACCAGGGAAGCTGAGGAGAGTGATGCCCCTATAAACTTATCTTGTTCTTGTTAACTTATTTATATTGTGTAAAGCAGCTTGGGTTGCCTCCTGGTAGGAAGCATGCTATATAAATAAATGTGCCTTCTGTTCCATTGTGTGTTTGCTTTCCAACAGGAGGAAGAGTAAGCAGGCTCTTCGAGATTACAAGAAGGTCCAGATCCAACTGGAGAACCTGGAGACCAGCGTGAGAGACCGCTGCAAGAAAGAGTTCACAGGTAAGAAGCGTGAGTGCTCTGAGGAAAGACTGAAGAACAGACATCAGCTGATAGCTTCAGCACCTGACCTTTAACCCCTCTCCTCTCACCTCAACCCAGACTTGATGACAGAGATGATGGACATGTCCAGTGACTTGGTGGGCTCGGGAATTCCCTTCCTTGACTACCGGATGTATGCAGAGCGCATTTTTTTCCCCGGGCACCGGGAGTCTCCCCTGAGGCGTGATCTGGACGTTCAGGAGTGTCGGCGACAGACGGTGGAGCAGGGCCTGGTGCAGCTGTCAAACCTGCTCAACAGTAAACTCTTCCTCACAAAGGTAGTCCTCTTCAGCACTGGGATCACTACTGTACCAACACTCTGTAGATAACCTAAAGACTGCCCCCCCCCCCCCCCCCCAGTTCATTCACACCCTGGAGAGCCAGCGGACCTTCTCTCCCCGGGACCGGGCCTATGTAGCCTCCCTGCTGACTGTGGCACTTCATGGCAAACTGGAATACTTCAGCGATATTCTCAAGACTCTGCTGAACGACCTGGTCGAACAGTACGTGGCCAAGAACCCCAAACTGATGCTACGAAGGTAAAACCAAAGTAGAGAGGATCAGGCTATGGTCGTGGTTGTAGTCTGCACAATTTCATCTGTTTGTGTCTTTCCAGAACTGAAACAGTGGTGGAGAAGCTGCTGACAAACTGGATGTCCATCTGTCTCTACACGTTCCTTCGGGTCAGTCAGTACAGGAATGCAAAGTTTATTTCACACTATTCAAACAGCAACACAAACATGTTTTAATGGACGTCATTATCCAGGATTGGGTGAAAAGGTTTGCATTGTAGTTTACCTTATAATTCTTTTAAAAGGCTCCACCCTCCTGTTTGAACTCCAGGCTTCTGGGATGTAAAATAATTAAAGCACTATGAATCATTTCAGGATATTTTCCACCTTTAGACACTAAGTTTGTTCACCCGTTTCAACAGCACCCATGGTTTCCCATGCACTTCCAGCCCTCCTCCTCCATCATGTGCCCACAAACTTCACAGCTTCCACTGAGCTCCTATTTCCAGTACTGTGAGGAGATGCTGAACTATATGCAGTGTTATTGTTGTAGTGTGTCAAGGTCAGCTTAGCTGTACCCTTGACTACAATATAATTTAAATAACGAGTTCTCTCGTTTTCGAGCTAATTACAGCCATGTGACAGAAGTAACTGTGCGTAGATGGTTTAATCAGTGACATGAGACGTTAATTTTCTTTGACCCATCATAATAAATGTGGTCATTTATTGAACAGAATCAAAATTTAATATCAAAACATTGTACACTTGATTAGCTGAACTGGTTCTGATTAATAAAACTTGGCACGTTTTACTTAATAAAAACAACAGACATTTCTGAAGACATCTAGGTTAATTACTGGAGAAGTAGAAGAGTTTTAAAGATGTGAAATACGAGGAGTTTAAAGGAAGATGTATAAAGGGAGTGTCTGTTCGGACCAGGATAGCACGCTCCTTTCAATACCAGCTCACCTCCGGTACACTTCGCGTCACGACTCGTTACCTTTGCCGGGATACCTCCGCTCAGGAACAGGAGTCCATTTCAACGCGACCTTTCAGCGTCTCCGGTAAGGATGGCTGTGAATCGTCCGAAGTCGTGTCACTTATCCGTGCAACAAACAGGCTCAGCTCCCTTCAAAGTTGTAGGGCATTTATGCCCAGGTGGACTCACAGCAAGCATCTGTGAGTCCTTTCAGAGTTTCCACTCATAAGTGTAAAACTCCATGAAGACTGAGAACTGCAGAACTGCCGCACTAACTCCAGAACTCTACAGAACTGCTAGAGCTTCAGAACTAGGAATAGTTCCAGGAAGTGTCGACTTTTAAAGAGTTCTGCTTCCGGTCACTTTTAGTACTTCCTGATTGGTGGAAGCAACCAACAGGGAGTGGTTCTAGTGATGTCAGAGGGTCATTACAAGTCAAGAAAACAGTAGGAATGTTTTTAGGAACAGTTAGTTACAGACGAGAAAATATTTTGGAGAAATTACAGACTTACAGGTGCCAGTTTTCTTATTTACTGTCTGAGAGTTTTAAAAACACGACACTTCGTTCCAATAACTTCCCTTCTGACTTTTGACCGACATCACTACTTCTCATTTCAGACAGAAGATCAAAAATGCATAATTACTTTGTAAAATAGACATTTAACTTGATTTCTAATTTAAATGAGGATTAAAAAAAATCATTAATACTGTTTCACAGTTGATTTAAAATGAGTGGTTCACTTCAACATTTAGAAATGATATGAACTAAACACACTTTTTGATTTATCAAGATATAGTAAAATAGTAATGATAATATAAAAGAAGAGTGTTCTTTCAATTGATTAGTTCAGAATACAATTAGAAAGTCTCTGGATGAGCTAATTTGTATTTCTGGATTCAAATCAATGAAATAACAGTTCCAGTCCCATGAGGGTCTTCAGAGGCAGGTTTTGGTCGGTGGCCTAGTCCACTACAGTGTGATCCTGCCTGCTGTATGTTTGACAGAACACAGTCCTGCCCATCTGTGGCTCTCGGCCACAACTTCCTCCACCCAAATACGTTCATTCTGAGATATCGCTTTTGAAAACTTTAATTCCTCTTTTTTCTGGATGTAAATAATTTTTTTTAACAATTATTTCCGTATCAGATGCTGTGCAGCTAGAAAGATTTTTTACTGAAAACTTTTTACTTTTGGACATTTGTTATGTTGCGTAACCATGACAACAAGGTGTTTTTTACAACTGGGAGAAGCTGATTAACATCTCAAAGCTCAAATAATATCTCAACTACAGCACTAAATCCCAAATGAGTTGAAAAGAAGGTGCTGTGGATGAATTCCCGTCTACTTGGCAGTGGTGCTTGAGTACCTGACCACCAAGATCCTGGAGCTGGTGGGAAACATGGCTCGGGACAATGGGAGGACCGGGATCATCCCCTGACATCTTCAGCTGGCTCTTCACAATGACGAGGAGCTCAACAAGATGCTGGGAGGAGTGGCCATAGCTCAGGGAGGAGTTCTGCCTGGCATTTGGCTGGTCCTGCTATCCAGAAGGACTGAGAGGCCCATCAGGTTCGAGTACATGGATCAGCATTTGTGGACAGATTCTTTGGATTTGCTTCAAGAAATCCTTCCTGTCCTGCCAACATCCATCAGCATCTATTACAAACAACTCTTGAATGAAAAAAAGATGAGTTACAACAACATTTAATTTCCCTTCAGGATTACAGTAGTCCCTTGCTACTTTACGGTTCATTTTTCATGGACTTGCTCTATTGCGGCTTTTCAAAATAAGACTGGACATGACACACAATTGGCTGACTGATGGATGAGCCACATGATCGGCATGGAATTTTTATTTAAAATCCATCCATCCATTATTTTTACCCGCTTCTTCCATTTTTGGGTCACAGGGATCGCCGGTGCCCATGTCCAGCAATCATTGTGCGAGGGGCGGGGTGCACCCTGGACATGTCTCCAGTCCATCACAGGGACACATAGAGACAAACGAGACAAACAACCATTCACTCTCTCACCTAGAAACAATTTAGAGTTACCAATCAGTCTAACATGCATGTTTTTGGTCTGTGGGAGGAAACTGGAGTACCTGGAGAAAACCCACGCATGCACGGAGAGAACATGCAAACTCCACCCAGAAAGGCCCCCGGACCGGGATTTGAACCAGGGACCTGCTCGCTGAGAGGCAGCAGCTCTACCAGTTGCGCCACCGTGCTGCCCACAGTATTATTTAAAAACTACAAAAAACAAGGGTTAATTTTACTGCAATTACTTTATTTAGTAAAGTATTCAATCTAAAAGTATAAAAATAAAAAAGATCCTTCTGTTATTTAGATTGAAAAAGTCTGCACAAAATATAGATCAACAAAATACCACAAAACTAAAGTGCAGGTGCAGTTAATAAACTAAATAAAGTGAAGCTTCAGATCTGTTGAGCATAAATGTAACATACAACAAAATATATAATATTATGATTGATTATGATATTATGACTGATTATATATTATAAATATATAATCATGTCTCTCTTGTAAATGAGTCCTTGAGGCTCAATAGGATTTACCTGTCTAAATAAAGGTTGAATGAATATGTTACCTTTAAATGAGCTATAATGTCCACAAGTTGTGACAAGGTGTCTTCAGCTGACCCTGAAGCCTCTATTCCTGCAGGAACTATTCCATTTCTCTGACTGCTCTGTCTTTGATTATCTGCCATGTTACCGTGGCTCAACAAACACAGCCGAGCTGCACCTGTACATGCAGCCCAGAGCGGGGTGGATGGAAAGACACAGCCAAACTGCATTTGTACCAGCAGTTTAGAGCAGGGATGGGGAGGCTATGCGTGAGGGAAGAGGGAAGAGGCAACATGAACGATGCCTTTAGCTTGTTAGCTATATTGCACGCAGCTAGCTTAGCATTGCGCCAGTATCAGTGGGGTGGTGGGGGGTGCGCAGTTTGGTTCGGTAGTTCGGCGTGCTCGGTTCTGTTAACGGGGCAGGGCGCCCTGCTGTAGGGGAAACACTGATGGATTTACGCCATGAAATTAGCATATCATGATATAATTAATTTTCCCGGGCAATCTTTTTTACCAGCATTATCGTGAATGATATGATATGGCCCAGCCCTAAATATATATATAACATCGAGTGGTGTTCTGTTGTTGGACTTCTGTGCTAGTCATAATTTGTCCATCACAAACACCATGTTCGAACATAAGGGTGTCCATAAGTGCACTTGGCACCAGGACGCCCTAGGTCTAAGATCAACGATTGACTTCATAGTCGTGTTATCTGATTTGTGGCCATTTGTTTTGGACACTCGGATGAAGAGAGGAGCTGAGCTGTCAACTGATCACCACCTGGTAGTGAGTTGGATCAGATGGCGGGGGAAGATGCCAGTAGACCCATACGTGTAGTGAGAGTTTGCTGGGAACGCCTGGCAGAAGAACCCGTCAGAGAGATCTTCAACTCACACCTCCGGGAGAGCTTTAACCACATCCCAGCTGAGGTGGGGGACATTGAGTCTGAGTGGGCCATGTTCTGCGCCTCGCTTGTTGGGGTAGCTGCCTTGAGCTGTGGCTGCAAGGTTGTCACTGCTTCTTGTGGTGGCCATCCATGAACTCGGTGGTGGACACCCCAGGTTAGGGAGGCTGTCAAGCTGAAGAAGGAGTCCTATCAGGCCTTGTTGGCCAGTGGGACTCTGGAGGCAGCTGAGGACTACCGGAGGGCCAAGCGGTGTGCAGCCTTGGCTGTTGCTGAGGCAAAAGCTCGGATGTGGGAGGAGTTCGATGAGACCTTGGATAGAGACTCTCAGTCGACTCCAAGGAGATTCTGGCAAACCATCAGGTGGCAGAGGAGGGGAAAGCAGTACTTTACTAACACTGTGTTCAGTGAAGGTGGGCTGCTGTTGACCTCAACCAGTGATGTCGTCGGGAGGTGGAAGGAATACTTCTCGGACCTTCTCAATCCCACCAGCACATCTTCCATGGAAGAAGCTGAGTCGGGGGACTTTGGGGTTGATCTGTCCATAACCGTGGCTGAGGTCACCGAGGTAGTTAAAAAGCTCTGAGGCAGCAGGGCTCTGGGAGTGGATGAGATTCACCCTGATTTCCTTAAGGCTCTGGATGTTGTGGGGCTGTCTTGGCTGACACACCTTTGCAACATCGCATGGACATTGTGGGCAGTGCCACTGGATTGGCAGACTGGGGTGGTGGTTCCCTTCTGCAAAAAGGGAGACCGGAGGGAGTGCTCCAATTATAGAGGTGTCACTCTCCTTAGTCTCCCTGGTAAGGTTTATTCAGGGGTACTGGAGAAGAGAGTCCGATCGTTGGTCTAACCTCAGATCCAGGAGGAACAATGTGAGTTCCATCCTGGCCGTGGAACACTGGATCAGCTCATTACCCTCACTACCGTCCTTGAGGGGTCATGGGAGTTTGCCCATCCAATGTACATGTTTTGTGGACTTGGAGAAGGCATTCAACCGTGTTCCTCGAGGTACACTGTGGGGGGTGCTCCGTGAGTATGGGATTGGGGGCCTATGGTTATGGGCTGTTCAGTCCCTATACAAGCAGTGCGAGAATTTGGTTTGCATTGCCGGCAGTAAGTCGGACCCCTTCAGGGTGGGAGTTGGACTCCGCCAGGGCTGCCCGTTGTCACCGATACTGTTCATAACTTTTATGGACAGAATTTCTCGGTGCAGCCAGCTGGCGGAGGGTTTCCAGTTCGGTAGCCTCAGAATTCCATCTCTGCTCTTTGCAGATGATGTGATCTTGCTGGCGTCATTGTGCCGTGATCTTCAGCTCTCACTGGAGCGGTTTGTAGCTGAGTGTGAAGCAGCTGGAATGAAAATCAGCTCCTCCAAATCTGAGGCCATGGTCCTCAACTGGAAAAGGGTAGATTGCTCTCTTTAGGTCGAAGGTGAAGTTCTGCCTCATGTGGAGGAGTTTCAAGTATCTCGGGGTTTTGTTCACGAGTGATGGAAGAATGGAGCGTGAGATTGACAGACGGCTTGGTGCAGCATCTGAAGTATTGCGGACTCTGTACCGGTCTGTTGTGGTGAAGAGAGAGCTGAGCAGCTTTGTCATTTCCTCCTGGCTAATGCTAATAATGTTAGCATGTCGGGAAGTAAAACTGTTCGGTGAGCGACATCATTTCTACTAGAAACTTAGAACGAGCTCAGAATGATGTTTGTTGCCTGCAGCTCAGTCAGGGAGTGCAGCAACGTCTCCACCGTCATTAAAACCTGTCGCGGATCCATTTTGGTGCTCAGGTTTGTGCACGTTCATCCTGGAAGTAGAACTTCTTCTTCTGTGTTTTTAAGGAGAGTTTACCACTCTGCACCTGTCAGTACTGCTGTTCAGAACAAAGCTGCAGGTAAACGCTCGTCGTGAACAGATTGAGCCCATGTCAACATTTGGATTATTTAATCTGAAAACGTTTCAATCCAGTCAAAAAAAAATTGTGCATGTAAACATAGCTACTGATAATAAAGCTTATTCTGATTCTGAACATTAAGGATTGTTTACATTCTCTGTTCACTTCCAGTCCAGAAAACACTCATGTGGACAACTACCAACATTCACTGTTCACATTCCTCGGTGATGGGGACATCAGTGTTGTCTTGTTGCTGCATTAAACATAACTTTTTGAAACTTCAGTTCAGATTCATCGGACTAGGACACAGCTTCCGCCGGGCTTTGACGAGACTTGTTTCATTCTTTTACATCATTTATCTTGGCTTGGATGTTTTTCTTTGTATTAGAAGGCCTTCCTACCTCCATGCAGAGTCCAGACAATCAGAGAACACAGGAGATTGTTTTTCACAGCCAGATCTGGTCAGAACTTCCTGCAGCTCCTTCAGCAATGCTGTAAGCCCCTTTGTGGCCCCTCCATGACCCGTTTCAGTCCAACTTCTCACTAGTTTTGGACGGACAGCCAGGTCTCACTAAAGACGCTGTGACCTGAGACTGTTGCGCTCTGTTCTGTTGGTTATCTAATGCTGGGGAAATGTTCGGTGACCGTCCCTTGACTGGTACCACTTGCCTGACTGGTAGGTCATTTTGCTGTCTTGTGGGCTCCCTGTGGATGATGGGTTTACTGTAGATCTGAGGACTGTCTAAACTTTGTTTCACGTTCACGTCTGTACGTCAGATTATTTACATGTGTACAGTGTGGAAGACTTCAGTTTCTTCAGGGTTTCATTTTCCTGGAACAGCTGCAGACAAACCTCTGATTTAAAGCTGTCCTTGTCTGAGTCCTTCACACTCTCTTCCATCCTCCAGAACCCGTTTGCTCATTGTGTGTGTGTGTGTGTGTGTGTGTGTGTGTGTGTGTGTGTGTGTAGGACTCAGCCGGTGAGTCTCTGTACATGCTGTTCAGGGCCATAAAACACCAGGTTGATAAGGGCCCGGTGGATGCTGTAACAGGAAAGGCCAAGTACACCCTGAATGACAACCGTCTGCTGCGAGAGGATGTGGAGTACAAGACCCTGGTGAGAAGGATGCTGACGATTCCAAGCACAACCCCCTGCAGCAGAAGAAGGGCTCCCAGAACCATGACGATGACTCTGACCCTGCCTCTCTTCCCCTTTTTCTTCTGCAGACGCTAAATGTGTTGGTGCAAGGTGGGGGTGTAAGCGAGAACCAGCCACTGCCCACCAAGGTGCTGGACTGTGATACCATCACTCAGGTGAAGGAGAAGCTCCTGGATCAAGTGTACAAGAGCACCTCCTTCTCTCATCGGCCCCACACCGACTCACTGGACCTGGGTGAGAGTCCAAACACAGAACCAAAACATACCTGCCCCCCATCCCTCCCCCGAGGGGTTTATGTTTTAGACTGAACACACACTGTGCTGCCTCACACACACACTGCCTTATTATTTAGCTGCAGACATTAGAATAATGAACCAGGAAGTGAAAAACTGTTTTGTTGGTAACTGTGGAGTTTTGGCGCTCCCTACAGCAAGACAAAGTCATGACAGGACAGCTACTAGCTCCTCCTCCTCACCTGCTGATCTGGTGACCATCAGGAGGCAGGTGGGACACACGTTGGAATGCTGCAAGTGGGACCATCCATTTTAGGGTTCTGAAACCTTTACAGAACCACTTCCTGCTTTTCTTCCAACAAAATAAACTTTGTCAAGTTGTAAAATGAACATGAGGCTTAAAAATAAAGACAACACAACTTATTAAATGTCACACATATAAAGGTGGTCAAATTAAAAACCAAGCATTGTTGGAACAAAGAGAAAGGTCCAAAAACCCTTTAAGTCTAAATGCTGAACTGTTTATACATCTTTTCTATACCTGTGTAAAGTGAATATTTGAAATAATAAAGCATACAGTTAAAATGAAAGGTGAAGTTAGGCCAGTTTGTTGGATGTTTGTGACTGTGATACATTTTCTTTCATCAGGGCAGCCAGCTTCACTTACTGAAAACTTGATTCCAACCTTCTGCCCATAGGCGAGCTTCTAAATGTCTGGGTTCACACAGTAGCCATACCATACCATACCAATTTATTTATATAGCACTTAAAACAGCAGCAAGGCCAACCAAAGTGCTGTACAAAAGAAAAACATGCACAGCGGACAGGAAAACATAAAATAGAAATACAGATACAAATAGCAGCAGAAGCTAACTAAAATGGCCAACAGAGTAGAGAACAGACCGGGCCAAAACAAATCACAACGTGTTAAAGGCAAGAGAATAGAAGTGGGTCTTCAAGCGAGACTTAAAGACTGAGAGTGTGGGAGCCTGCCGGACACTCAGTGGCAACTCATTCCACAGTCGTGGACCTGCAACAGAGAAAGCCCTGTCACCCCTGAGCTTACGACGGGTTTCTGGGACTGAGAGAAGCATCTGGTCTGCTGACCTCAGAGAGTGCGGTGGGACATATGGCTGCAGAAGATCAGTGAGATAGGATGGGGCGGAACTGTTCAGTGATTTAAAAACATACATGAGAATTTTGAAATGGATCCAAAGGTGAATGGGTAGCCAGTGCAGGGAGGCCAAAACTGGCGTGATGTGCTCTCTATAGCCTGTACCAGTTAAAAATCGGGCTGCAGCATTTTGGACCAGTTGTAGACGAGCAATGGAGGACTGACTGATTCCAAACAGAAGTGAATTGCAGTAATCAAGCCTAGATGTTATGAAGGCGTGGATCACTGTCTCAAGGTTGTTTTTGGAGAGTATAGGCTTCAGCTTAGACAGCCGTCTCAGCTGAAAAAAACAGGATTTGACCATCATGTTTACGTGACTGTTGAGTTTTAAGGACGGGTCCATTATCACCCCCAGATTAGTGACCTTTTGTTTCTCTAGCGGGGCTAGAGAGAAAAGGTCAATGTCATGGTTCATGAGTGAGCCACTGGGATGGAACAGCATGACTTCAGACTTCTTCTCATTGAAGCTTAAGAAGTTTAAAGCCATCCAGTCCCGGATGTCAGCCAGGCAGTCAAGAAGAGGCTGAATAGAGCGTGTGCCTCTGTGCCTCAGGGGGAAGTAAATTTGGCAATCATCGGCGTAGAAATGAAAGGGTATGTCGTGTTTGCGGAAGATAGCACCTAGTGGCAGCAGGTATAAGGAAAAGAGAAGGGGACCGAGGATGGACCCCTGCGGTACCTCCCACTGGAGCGCTGTCGATGCCGAACTAAAATCTTTGATATTGACACAGAAGGTTCTGTCAGAGAGGTAGGACCCAAACCATTTAAGGCTGACCCTGTGATGCCCACCCACAGCTCCATTCTAGAAATGAGGATCTTGTGGTCGATGGTGTCAAAAGCAGATGTAAGGTCCAATAGGACAAGCAGCACAGAATCACCTGCGTCTGTGGATATGAAAATGTCATTAAAAACCTTCAGTAGAGCAGTTTCAGTGCTATGGAGAGATTTGAAGCCAGATTGGAATAACTCAAGGATAGCGTGATCCCCCAAAAACTGTTTCAACTGAGACTCCACAATTTTTTCCAGTAGTTTAGAGGTGAATGGGAGTCTGGAGACAGGCCGGAAGTTGGACATGACTGAGGGGTCAAGGTTAGGTTTTTTCAGGAGGGGCTGGACAGCAGCATGTTTAAAAGTCTTTGGCACCACACCTGAGGATAAACTGCTATTCAGAATAGTGAGGATAAAAGGACCCGGGGTAGGAAAAACTTCCTTTAGCAGTCGAGGGGGGACCACATCAAAGGGGGAACCAGATGGCGTCATGCTGCACATTACCTGCTCCAGAGAGGACAGAGAGATGGGCTCAAAGTGGTCAAACACAGCCACACACTGAGAAGGGATGGACAGATCATGAGCTGGTGGAGAAATGAGTGCCCGGGTGTTTGCCACTTTTTCTAAAAAGAAATGGAGGAAGTTCTCACACAGCTCAGTTGAGGCTTCCAGAGGTGAAGGCTCACTGAGGTGTAGAACTGAGTTCAGGGTGGAGAAAAGAACTCGGGGGTTGTGGGAGTTGGAGACAATTAAATCAGAGAAGAATTTACATTTGGCAGCTTTAACGGTTTTCTGATAGTGACGCCAACTCTCCCTTAACATTTGAAAAGA